ACCTCAACATCAACCTGCCTCGGCATTCAAAATGTGGCCCGGGAATGCAGTTCTGGGAGCTCGAAGAACACAAAGTGGCCTACAGTTGGCTCCGGGCATTCAAAATGTGGCCCGGGAATGGTGTTCTGGGAAGCCCAAGAGCACGAAGTGGCTTACAATTGGCTCCGGGCGTCCAAAATGTGGCCCGGGAATGGAGTTCTGGGAAATCGAAGAACACGAAGTGGCCTACAGTTGGCTCCGGGCATCCAAAATGTGGCCCGGGAATGGAGTTCTGGGAAGTCGAAGAGCACGAAGTGGCCTACAGTTGGCTCCGGGCATTCAAAATGTGGCCCGGGAATGGAGTTCTGGGAGGTCGAAGAACACGAAGTGTGCGACTGTTTGCTTAAAACGAAGCCGGTTCTCGCCTGTCCGGCTCCCGCCCAGACCCCCCTGGGGAGTCATCAGATGCTCTTTTTTGACCCCACTAGAAACGTATCAGTCTTCGCTGTTAAATAAAAATGCGATTCTTCCCTTCGCAATCCCGGAGAAGGCTGCAACCCCGAACTGTTGCCCAAGATCTTTCCGAATACTGGCGGCGACGCCTCCAGCGCCAGGCTGACCTTCACAGAAGCTGCCAAAGTAAAGGAGGTCCTTAAAGTCGCGCTCGAGCGTGGCAATGTCGCCACTCGTGCCGCCAATGTCGCGCGCGCCCAAAAACTCACCCGCGCAGCTATGCGCGCGAGATTGCATGCCATGACTGCCCCGCGCGGACCCGAATACGGCGCGCGCGTTCCACGTGACAATCGAGAACTTCTGATCTGGGACGCACGGGACACATTCCTGGCCTTCTCGGGACAAGACGAGAGAACTGTCGTCAGAGCTGGAATCGGAGTTGCACGCGGTGCTGGAATCAGTAGAAGAGGACGAAGAGGGAGGAAGAGGACTGTACACAGGCACAGCACGCTGGGCAACAGTAGTTGCTTGCGAGAGAGGCTGTCACTCGTCGACCTCGATGGCGCCTCCAGGAGCAGAGGGCTCCTGGGTCCCGATCAGAGCCATGACCGTGTCCTCGGCGATTCCCCGCTCCTCCAGCTCGGCGTAGTTGGGCTCGAAAATACACTCCCCTTCACCATTGCGGATGTTGACATGCTTGATCTCGATGAGCACCCATGCGCCGGTGTCATTCTTGACGCGCGTGACTCCGCGGAACCCGTCGATTCCCAGCTGGCAGTCGGCGGGCCACGTGTGCGACAACTGCAGGAGGTCGCGGATGGGGATGTCTAACTTGTGGAACGCACGCTTCTCGTTCCGAACAGGCTGCGGGGGATCTGGTCTGACTCGAAGGTGGCGCTGCACCTGAATGCGAAGATCAGTCCAAACAAAGCCACCCCGATTGGACTCGCGCTGGAAGGCACTTGCCTCGTCCTTATTCGGGGAGATGATCTGGTAGCTCTGGGCGATGGCATAGAACTTCGCGACGTCGTTTTCCAGCAGGTCGGGGCACTGCAATAGCAGGCCCTCGAAATGCAGCTTGCGAATGCGCACGGTGACAGGGCGAGGGAGAAGGCCAGTGAACTTGGTCGTCGGGTCTCCACCCGCGTCATCCTCACCGCGACGACGAGCGTTGCCATCCTGGGCGCGCAACCGAGACGCCCGCGACTGCTGGCCCCCCGACGCCGTTGATGCTGCTGGCGACGGAGGGCGCGCATTCAGGTGCTGGATCCCATTGGATTGCTGGTTCTGGGTCTTGGCCACCTCGGAGAGCTGGGCGGACAGCGCGGTGATGTGGGCCTCTGTGTTCCCGACGCGGTGCGAGGGCGTGCCCGCGTTGGTCTCGACTGTCAGGAAACGAGCTTCGAGTAGTGTCTGCAACCCCGCGACAGAACTCTCGAGGACCTGCGTCGACTGAGCAGCGACCCCAGCATCCCCCGCGGCGGCGGCGCCTGGGGAGAAACCCCGTACAATAAACGACTGAATGTGTCCGCTTGGGCTCGACCCCAAGAATGCCCCCTTCAAGAAGGGCTGCCCGCTCGAATGCCACAGCGCGCAGGATCCCAATGTCCTGCCGCCGCTGTTGGCACTTGATCCAGAATGGCTCGGGCCAAAATGGCCGCGGAAGGTCAGGGGGGGGATGGGGGAGGAGGAGGAACGAACGCACCCCGAGGTCGAGCCCCGAGTCAGCTAGGCCCGCAAAGCGGAGAGGAGGAGGAGGAGGAGGAGGAGGAGGAGGACAAGCAACAACAACAAGAAGGAGGCCAATAAATGAGCATGAGAGGAGGAAGAAGAGGAGACGGAGGAGCAGGAGGCAGAGGAGAGAGGAGGAGGAGGAGGAGTGCACGCACTCAAAAAGAGACGAGACGAGGGCAATCGGGCAAGACGCGGGAAGAGGGCAGAAGTTCGTCTCGCCCCCTGCCTGCTGCCGCTACGCCTACCTCCGGATGCACTTTGTACGCTCGACGCTCTGGCCGCCATGTAAGTCATGAGCTGCATTCGGGAACGAGGTAAATGCAGGGACGGTGGGAAGGGCGGGGGACAAAGGGCAGAGATGAGTGTGCCAGGTGGGGGGCGCAGGGCTACGTTGACGGGCGGCCACGGGGGCCACGTGCGCATCATCAGCCACGCGAGGCGGCCGAGCGACGTGAGCATCACCATGCAGAGGTTCAGCGACAGCCGCGCCAGGCGCCAGGACGGCGCGAGCAGCGCGATGCAGGCCGTCTTCGGGATCCACTAGATCTTCTGCCAGATAAGCGAGAGCCGTGCTGCAGCAACGAAGTTGAAGAAGGACCGCCGAAGACACGGAACGCCAGGAACAGCCCAGTCATGCTGAGCTTCTTGAGGAAGGGTGTGGGCAGCAGCAGCGGCTCCACTTTCGTTTCCAGGACGAGCTAGTCCGGGAAGAACGCCACTCGAGGCGGCGTCAGAAACGCTATCAGGATGTAGCCCAAGCTGGTGGATGAACGTGTCGAAGAACAGGCGGCGCCGCACGTCCACCACGAGGGCCCATCCGGGCTCGTGCTGCAAGATCTTATCGGCCTCCGACTACGTCGAGTGAGCGTCGATCTGCAACTTGTCAGTCTGGAGGTGAACCAAGCGGCGCTCGGCGACAATAGGTTCTCCAAACTGGGTGGCGTCGGCTGCCGCGGCCTCAGGAACGAGCAGAGGGACATCAGCAGTGATAACATCACCAGTAGCACGTTGGTCATCATATGCATCGGCAGCAGCTTGAGCGGCGAGGTCATCACCAGCATCACGTTGGGCGTCAGCGGGGAGGTTTTCACCAGAGGCACGTTGGTCATTATGTGCAGTGCCAGAGGCTTGAGCGGCGAGGGTATCACCAGCATCACGTTGGGCTTCATCGGCGAGAACTTCACGCATCCGACGTTGGTCAGCATGTACATTGCCAGCAGCTTGAGCGGCGAGGTCATCACCAACATCACGTTGGGCTGCAGCGGCGCGAGTTTCACCAGGGTCATGTTGGTCAGCACGTGCCTTGCCAGCAGCGTGAGCGGCAAGGTCATCACCAACATCTCGTTAGGCGCATTGGTAAGTCTGTGCGTTGCCAGCAGCTTGAGCATGAGGGTCTTCACCAGCATCCGCAGCGCCAGGTCCAGCGGGAGTCCGGAGCCCTTGGATGAACGCTGCGACCTGCTGGACCTGCGACCCGTCGCACACGCCAGCTGGGCAGAGCGGGGTGCGAGCAGCTGCACGCAGGCAGAAACAGCGAGAGAGGTGTGCAATGGCGCGAGCGAACACTGCAACGATGTCAAGATGTCGAGCTGCTCGCACTTCATCCGCCATGGGACTGTCAACAGCCCTGCCGTCAGCAGCAGATAGAGGAGCTGGACGCGCAGCCGCAACGGGTCCAGGGAGCAGAAGATATAGACGCAGAACTTGTGGACCGAGGGGGTGCCGGAGGCCGTGCTGTTGCAAGAAACGGCAGCGGCGAAAGTGACGGGCCGCCTCGGATCGAGCATGTGGCATCTGCACCAGCGCCAGCACCAGCAGCACGGTCGGGATCACCCGCGCGTGCCCGAGCATGGACATATGGAGCCGCGGGCACTGGCAGCGGGCGGCGCGGCGCTCGGACAGAGGGCCTTGGGCGAAACAGCTGTGGAACTCATTTCAGCCCAAGTCCGAGATCCCACGGAGGGGACGGACTTAAGCCAAAATGGCTACGGAAAGAGGAGGAGGAGGAGGAGGAGGAGGAGGAGGAGGAGGAGGAGGAGGAGGGTCAGGAGAAGGAAGAGGAGGAGAAGGAGGCGAGAGGACCACACAAAAACAAGGAGGGAAGGACGTCGATATGGGAGGAAGAAGAGGTCTAGCCGAAAACGGCGCACCTCCCTCAAAACACCGACCACAACACCGCGAAAACGACGGTGAAAGGAGAACGTTCGGGATACCCGATTGCCCTTTGAACTAGGTTTTCGCCGTCGACATTATGCTGCTACCTCACCTCTGCCGTACTACCAAGCCGCAGGGGGGACCCCCTCCTCCTCCTCCTCCTCCTCCTCCTCCTCCTCCTCCTCCTCCTCATTCTCCTCCGTGTGATGGTGGCACAGGATGGTGATCAGCGTGGGCCCTCACCAGCGGTCACAGTGGCTTCGGCTCCCAGCACATGCACTTGAGCAAGCGTGCGCGCTAATGCTGCCCGCCTGGACCAGAGAAAACGACTGGAGCTTCCTCGGTGAGTCGGTGGTGCGGGCCATTATGATCAGGAAGAGCTGGGGCCCTCGACCCTCCCGCCTGGCCAGCGGCAAGGGGGGCAAGAACAACCAAAGGTAAGGAAGAGAGGGAGAGAGAAGGAAAGAAGGGGACGGACACGAGAACTCCTCCTACTCCTCATCCTTCTCCTCCTTTTCCTTTTCCTCCTCCCCCTCCTCTTCCTCCTCGATCCTCCTCGACCCTCCTCGATCCCATCCCCCAGAAGGCTGCCCCCGACTCCAAGACCTACTGGGCCCCGTGACGCCGCGCCGAAGGGGCCTGCCCGGGCCGCCGGCGGGACGGGGCGGGGCGGCCCGCGCCTGGCGTCCTCGGCCGCCCGCCGCCACGACCTGCCCGCAGCTCCCTCCGCTCTCGGCCGGTGTGATGGGACGCACAGGAACATACTCATACGATATGTCCTCCTGGGAGGCGCGCGTCCAACCCGACCATATAGTATACCCATATTGTAGTAGAGCGTTTCCCGAGCGGTGTGGTCAGACAGCGCCCGCCACGACGCATATACCATAATATTTCTCGGTGCACGCGTCGCCCCTGGGAGGGGGGCGACGCACATATAGTATAAGCATGTTGGGGCGACGCCGATGTTAGGTGAGAAAGACAACCATCGTATTGGCAAGAAGGGGCCAGGAAGGTACAAGGCACGACTGAGACAGAGAAGCTCGTTCACCATACGCAATAGTACGAATGCTCGGCTCATTCTTCGCCGGGCCCCGTCGTCCCAACCCGATGAATACATGTTTTTATGGTTAGGCGAAGGCTACCCGGGGGAGAGAAAAGAAGGGCCCTAGAGGGCCCCTCTGCTACATCGGTTCGCCTCCACTGTGGGAACTGCCGCGTCGGAAGACATCCCTTTGAAGATTCTGCAGCATGTCGAAACATTATTCTCCAACGCCACGGGTCAACCTGACGGTTGCGGTCTGACAAACCTGAGCCACGCCAGAACACCACTCCTGGCACATCAACGCCACGATTTAACGTAACTGTAGCGCCCACTTAATCCTGATTTGTTCCAGAAAGCCGTTTCTGGTACGCTGGTCATGGGAATCCGTGGAACCCTTGCAAATTTGGAAAACGGATCTGCGCGGCGCTAGCGCGAAAACCACATGTTGAAAAGGAGCCGCCCTCAATCCGTGAACGTTTTGCGAATTTGTACTACGAACGCACGCGGCGCTAGGGCGAGATCCACATTTTGAAAACCTGTAGCCCCCAACCAGTCAAACGAGTGTATTTTCCAAACCATCCTGTGGTGTTGGGTCCTCGCTTTGAAGAGAGCGCCCCGCGTCCCACTCCTCCTCCTCCCGCTGCACCCTCCCTCTTCCCCCTCCTCCTTTTTCCCCCTCCTTGCTTTGGTTCTCTGCATGTTTCTGTTTCACCAAACCCTTCACACGCTTCGTGACCCCATAGGGAGCTCCAAATAAGGTCCCAGTGGCGCAGCTCTCATGGCGGCGCTGCCCCAATTTTGATGCATTCCTCACACGCTTTGTGGCCCCATAGGGGACTCAAGCAAAAAGGTCCCCGGTGGTGCAGTTCGCATGGCGGCGCCGCCCCATTCTGGCACACCACTCGCACGCTTCGTGGCCCCATGGGGAGCTCAAATTAAGGCCCCAATGGCGCAGCTCGCATGGCGGTGCCGCCCCATTCTGGCACACCCCTCACACGCTTCGTGGCCCCATAAGGAACTCCAACTAAGGTCCCAGTGGCGCAGCTCGCATGGCGGCGCCGCCCCATTTTGGCACACCCCTCACACGCTTCGTGACCCCATACGGATTTCCAGTGGCGCAGCTCGCATGGCGATGCCGCCCCATTCTGGCACACCCCTCGCAGGTTCCGTGGCCCCATAAGGCGCTCCAACTAAGGTACCAGTGGCGCAGCTCGCATGGCGGTGCCGCCCTATTTTGGCACGCCCCTCACATTTTTCGTGGCACCATGGGAAGCTCCAAATACAATCCCAGTGGCGCAACTCGCATGGCGGCGCCGCCCCAGTCTGGCACACCCCTCACACGTTTCGCGCTTCGTGGCCCCATAGGGATCTCCAGATAACGTCCCAGTGGCGCAGCTCGCATGGCGGCGCCGCCCCATTTTGGCACATCCCTCACACGCTTCGCGGACATAGGAAGCTCCTACTAAGGTCCCAGTTGCGCAGCTCGCGTGGCCCCGCCGCCTTATTTCTTTCGGTCTCGTGGACTCTCGCCGTGGGCCGTCGGCTGTCTGGCGCGCTGCTCCCTCGGCCGACATCGCCCAGGCGTGATCCTGGACTACGGCCGCCGCGAAGCCGGGCACGGCAAGGAGGACGACGACTGGTGGCTGGAGCTCTACGCGCTGCTCTCGCGCGCCACGCGCCACGAGGACCTCCTGCCCGTGCGGGCGCCGCGCACCGAATTTTTCTTGGCAGTTTGCTGCGCGCACGAAGCGGCGCATACGGGAGGCGACGGCCCTCGCCAGGGAGCTGGGTTTCACCGGGTATGCCCGCAATGCTTGACCTGAATAACGACCCGCCCGAGCCTCGCCATCTCTCGACGGTCTGACTGTTTGGCCTCGCGCCGTGGGCGACCTGCGCGCGTCGCTAAGACCCTTTCGGGGCGACCAGCGCGCCTCGCGGGAACTCCATGCTGCGCTCTGCCTGGCGCCTCGCTCGCCCCCGTCGTCGCTCTGCCCAGCGTCCAGACTTGCCCGCTATCAGCTGGGCTGCTAGCTCCCTCTGTTCCGCACAACGGACGACCCGCGCGCGTCGCCGGGAACCTTTCGGGGCGACCAGCGCGCATCGCGGAGACTCCGCGCGGCGCCGCGCCCGCAGCCTTGGACGCGGGCGCGCGCGGCCAAAGAGGGAGAAAACAAACGGGGAGGAAACGGACGCGATCCTCGTGAGGGGCGTGCCGACATAGGCGCCGACATTTATGCACGTAGACTCACGCGCGCGCAGACTCATTCAAAATCAGACTCACGCGCGCCCACACTCACCCGATCTCAGTCTTTCGCACGCAAACCTATCTTTTTCGTTCGCGCTGTATACCCCGCCGCGCATTTCGTCACGCCCCTCGCACGGTCAGTGGTCGCATAGGGAGCGCGGGCGAAGATGATATTCAGAATTGCAGTATTCACATCTGCAGATGGTTGGGTCCATCACCCGAATAATTAGAGCGAGCGCGCCCGGCGCAGAAGCGAGAACCGCATTTTGAAAAGGAACAACCCGCAATCTGCAAAGTGTTTTCTTCAACTGTTTGCAAAGAGCATGCGCGGCGCCAGCGCGAGAGCCACATTTTGAAAACAAATCGCTCTCAATCCGTGAAGCTGCTGCAACTTCTTAAAACAAATGTGCGCGGCGCTCAAGCGAAAACCACATTTTGAAAACCACCCGCCCTCCAACTGTGAAGCTGTTGCCAATGTTTGAGTTTCAGGGTCATAGCTGGTGAGGACATCTCAAGCGAAATGCCTGGCCCGCCCTAAAAGCTGGCCGCGGGGGCGACAGGGAGAAATTAGTTATACGGAAGAGGACTATGGGGAAAATAGTGAAGAGGAACAGGAGGAGGATGTGGAGGAGCAGTTGGAAGCGGCGGAGACGGAGTCAAGACCTCCGCCGCGAGGGTTTCATGCATGAGTTTTGAAGGTGCCACGGTGGGTCTGGCGGGCGGTCCTGTGTTCCATCTGGACTGCGCACGGTCGGGGTCAGGATGTACACGAAACAGACGGAACAAAAACATGAATACGTTGATATCACACACCTATTTTACACACGTGCGCGGGTACATGTTCCCGAGGTGGGCGTCGCTCGCAAAGGCGAAAGCTCGTAAGACGTGGGTCTGGGGTCTTTCTAGGGGCCCAGACCTGGCCAAGATCGGCGCGTTCCGCATAAATGCCGACCAAGGCGCCCTGTTGTGCTATTTCCATCGATCGGAATTTCGGACAACGCACGTAGAGGTACACATCTATACACATGTACGTACGCGCGCTTGCAACGAACACAAACGCATCGCCGATCTTAACGTCTATACTGATCCAGCGCCTCGCGATCACGTCATGGCGTGGCTCTGGAAATACATTCGTTGGGCCCGCTGTATGATGGTAGCTATGGTGCTTGCGATGACCTGGCCAGCTTCCCACGCATCTCGGCGCTGGCGGGGCCCAGGGTGGCATCCTCAACTGATTGTGACCATCTGCCACAATACCCATGGCCCCCTGTCCCTCCCATGCGCCCTCCCTCCCTCGTCCGTGATCCCTCCTCCGAGCTCCTTCCCATTCCGAACGTTCTCTGGTTGTTGTTGGTGCTGCTATTGTTGTGGTTGTTGATGTTGCTGCTGTTGTTGGGCCCCTACTCTTAGATAGTAAGTACAGCTGGTCCCTCCTCACTGGTGCACATTGCGGTTTCCCCTTGGAGTGCCCCCTCGGGGCTGGCACTCTGTTATTGATCAGGGGACGTCTTCCTGCTTACACTATGTATGTGTCCCCGCGGCTAGAACAACAACGGCTCACGCCCGATACCTCCTCATAGTTCTTCACAAATCGCGCTCTTGCGCGGGACTGCCTCACCACGTATGCAGGAATCGCGCCTTCGCGTGGGGCTTCCTCGCCATGTGTTCACACGACGCGCCCTCGACACGCACGAATCACGCTCTCGTTTTGGATGTCCTAGCGGATCTCTTTGGAACCGCATTATCTCGAGACTCCCCCATGATTCGTGCAGGACTGACGATTCAGCAACCCGCCTGCTCGACCTGGCCGCCTGGGCCCCCGCCTCCCCGACCCGCCCGCTGGAGTCAGCCCGCCCGATTTGCCCGCCTGTTTGGTTCTGCAACATGCTCTCTTCTCCTACTCCCCACCTCCTGCTGATTTCTCCCGTGCTCCATCCATTTCCCTCCCCCCTCCATTCCTCCTCCGTTCCCCTGAATCTATGGCTGCACTAAAGCACGTGGCAGGTAAGGAGGTTGTACCCCGAAAAGGGGTACGATCAAAGACGACAAGGCCGGGTACCGAGGGTTTGGGGTGTACGTATTGAACGGCACGCGACCAGATACGAGCGAACAGTCTTAAAACGATCGTTGTTATTGATGTTGATGGTGTTGTGGGTGGTGGTGCTGGTGGCGTTGGTGTTATAGAAGCTGGTGCTGTTGATGCTGTCGTTGCTGTTGCTGTTGTGCTTGTTGTTGCTGTTGAAGGTGTAGTTGTTGTTTTTGCTGTTGGTGTTGCTTTTGTTGGTGGTGCGGTTGTTGCTGTTGCTGTCGAGTCCTCGGATCCAGCAAATATATTGCTGTTCCCCCCTCTGGTAACCATGATAGTGTTGATAGTGTTCCTCCTGGGGCGCGCACCGTCTTCCCTTATCAGGGAGAGCTGGGTG